CAGCAGGAAGCATTCCTTCCTTCTTGGTCTTTTTGTTCTGTTCAGATCTTCAACTGATTGGACGAGGCCTACTGACATGGAGGAGGACTCTGTTTTACTTAGTCTACTGATTGAAATGTTAATCTCATCTATATAGAAATGCCCTTAGAGACAAACCCAGATTAATGTTTGACCCAATGTCTGGGTACCAGGTGGCCCAGTCAAGTTGGCAGATAAAATTAACAATCACAGTTGTTTAACTGGAAGTGGAACTGAGGGTGAAAACAGAGGCCTTGGTACAAAGAAGTGTCCTGAGAGAAGGGAGAGCAGAGAGGACATCAAATTGATAGGCATGTCCACCGCGTATCCAGCACCAGCTAAGCTGACTTCCACAGGCCAGAAGAACGTGTCCACTTCTGTAGACAGACTATTATGTGGGAGGACAGAAGAAAAAGGTACAACAATAACAATTGGTATTTATGTACTGCCTTTCTTCTTGAGCCCCAAAGATTTCTCGTTTGTATTATTACAAAATTACCTTTATACTAGTTCACCTGAGTGCTGGAGAACACGCCATTTCCCTGTTGTGCTGACGGGTGCCTTATCTGGCCACATTGCCATGCTCTTCTCACTCTCAGCCTGCCCCACAAAATAGCCCTCTTGTCAAAGGCACAGAGTCCTTCCCTGGTCAAGGGATGGTTTCTGCAAAGGAGGGCAGGAAAGTGAATAGTGGTTTGTACAAATATGGCCTCTCTCCGAACAAAGCCAACTTCTCTGGAATTGACATCTGGTTTTCTAGGAATTATGAACAGTTTGGGTGAGATAATGGAGGAGAGTCCCAAGAAAGCAGAGATTTCAGTGCTGGGGGCAGCTCCCAGGTTAGCAGGTAAAAAAAAAAAAGTGCCAGTTGCTCCCGATCTCTAAAAAGAAGCCTGCAATATGGCCTCTGCTGTCTGGGATTTATTTTTATGGTTAACAGCTTAGATTCCCTTGGGCTCTGCAAACAGATAGGGCAGGCTGAGAGCCACTGTGAGCCCTGTTTTTAGCTGATTAGAAATTTCTCAAATGAGATGATGCACCCGGCTTCTGAATATTTTATGTCCCATCTGTTGTCCCCAACTAAAGTGGGAAAGGCAGTGGAGCCTGTGCCTTTCTCCGTCCCTGCCCTTCCCTGACCTCTTTCTCCTTCTTCCTCTCATCTCAGGTTTCTAGGATAGTTTTTCTCTCCCTCTCAATTGATTCATTGGTCCGTTCAGTCTTATAAATATAAACTAACATCTCTTGAGCACGTACTTTGTTCTGCCCACACTGGGTTCTGCAGAGATGAATACACTACACTTTCTAACCTGATGGGAACTCACAGACATCTAGTAGACAAAGGGAACCACTGGCAGGTGCTGTCACAGAGTTCGGCTTCTGGGGTGAGCTTGCCTGTGTCTGATGGGCTCCAGAAAGAGTCTATTGAGCAGGGAAGACTTGTACTAGTTCTCAAGGTTTGAGGACAAATTATCCAGGCCACTAAAAGTGAGTTCCAGAAAAAGAAACAGGTTGTAAAGCACATGGAGGTTTGAACCAGGGATGTATGTTTATGTGTGTGTGTGTGTGTGTGTGTGTGTGTGTGTGTGTGTGTGGTGGGG